CGCAGCCAGAGTCGGCCTGTCCCCGCCCGCCCCGCCCCGCCCCGCCGGTGACAGGAGCCGGATGCATCCTGCCTTCGGTCTGGGACGCAGAGTGCACCCCCCCCACCTCCCCCCCGCGTGTGCAGGGACCCCGGGGAGTCCGCCCAGGGGGAGACACCCCCGCCCTGGACGGGGGGGGGCAGCAGAAACCTGGGGGCATCCGAGCGCGGAGCCTGCGCGTAGGCTGCCCGCCAGAAGACGTTGGAAGTATCCAGAGCCCCTGCTAGGGTCCCACTCCGCCGCGCCGCGCCGCGCCGTGCCGCTCTGAGGGAACACCGCACCAGGGTGCATCACAAACCATTCAGTAGAAGCAAATACGTCTCTTTTCCCAGTCCCCAGCCAGAAGTGCCATATAGGCCACAAAACATTTGAAAATGTGGTTGCCCAGCAGTCACAACACCTCATGCTCACCTCTTGCAGCACCCTTGCAGTGTGACTGCCTCCCAGCAAGTCTGGGGCAGCACTAATTCGAATAAAACTCATCTGCAGAAGGGCAATCAACCAGACACTTTCTCAAACACAAGTGCTCTTTGGATCTCTCCTACATGTTGGCCCCTTCTGTAATTACCCATCCTACGTCACTGCAGACTCAGATCTGCCACCCAGGCATGATAATCATGGTGTGTCTGGCAACACTGGGTGGGGGGAAGAGGGTAGTTTCTGTGAGGTTGAGGGGAGGGTCCTCTTGCTGTTGTGGCAGGTGCCCCATAGCTACTGGACATAGGAATGGCCATGGTTGTATGTGGGAGGGAGTGACATGAAAGGCCCTGTAGGATCTCTGCAAGGCAGGGGTGGAGCGAGACATCCTGCAATCTCAGGGACGGTGCTGGAGAGGCGCACAACATTGAGCAGGTGAGGAGGAGACACTTCTCCCAGCACTGAAGAGGGGCCACGTGTGTTTTGGCCTATACAGAGATCCAGGTCTGATTGGTATCAGAACTGTGTCAAGAGGATATCAGCTGTATCAAGGCATTATCTTTGGGCCCCTAGGCTTTGGGGGAAGTGGGCCAAGAGAAATGTGCTACTGAGAACAGCCTGCTAAGCCAGGGTCCCAGGGAGGAGGGCTGCAGTGGGACCCCCAGACACAGAGCCACGGGGATCTGTCTGTCTCGGTCCATGGGGCAGAGGTAGGATGACAGAGTCAGGCTCCCCAGGCCAATCTGCCCCAAGAAGACATCCCTTCTTCTCCAAACCCTGTTCCATGCCTAGTGTGCCTGCTGCATGTGATGCTGAAGAGCAAGCTATCCCATTCACGTGTCGGGCAGCTCTGAGACGTCAGGCTGGCTGATCAAGGGATTTGTGGAGGATTGAGATGAATTAGCCCCAAGGCTGACCTGCCTTCTCCTGGGGCAAGGGAGGAGGAGCCAGGAACAGCATGAACTGTAATTGTGGCAGGGGGCAAGGGGGAGTGACCTGCTCTTGGTAGAGTCAGATTAATGAATGGTGTGGGGCCTCCTGAAACAGGGCCAGCCAATTTAGAAGCTGCCACCACTGCTGTTTTTCTGCAGGAGCAGTTTAGTCAGGTCAGGCAGTGCCTGTTAGGCCTGTGCGAAGCGGCTAGTATTCACTTTGGAGTCAGCTGATTCGGGGGACAGTGATTTGATTCAGTGATTCGAATCACTGTCCCGATTTGATTTGGCTGAATCTGATTCAGAGTTTCGGCAGCACCCAAATCTCCGAATCAGCCAGGCCAGGCCCATTACCCGCTTCTCTCCCAGCCCAGCAATGACTGCCCTGCCCACCCCAGCTTCCCGCACTTGGGGGAAAAAAAGCCCCCACTCAGCGGGTGCTGCCAGGCAGGGGGTGATCCCTGCTGCCCCACGCTGCATGGGGGGCTCTGCATGAGCCCCCAAACTCCTACCCCACTCCCCCAAGCCCCCCATGGGTGCCTCGCACAGGCCAGCTCCAACCCTTTAAGAAAAAAACCCAAACCTGAAGAAACACCAAACTCACCACTCCTGCCAGTGGGGGGCAATCTTTGCTGTCCCCCATTGCCCCGCACCACGTGGGGGCTCTGCACGAGCCCCCTTAAGTCCCGAGGCTGTACCAGGAGCGGAGAGTCCTGGGGCTTTTCTTGTCTTTTTTTTTCTTAAAGGGCCGGTGGAGCAGGGGGTATTGGGGGGCTCAGGGCAGATCCCCCCCATGCAGCATGGGGCAGAAGGGATCGCCCCC